TACGTAGAAATGGGAAAGGAAAGTGATCCTGGTCCAGTTTTAGCTTACGAGCTAATGTCCCACTGGTCACAACAAAGAAGACAAGTCAAATCTCAATTCTCAAAACATAATAAAACGTCATAAGCAAAAGTACCAAAAATTCAGTGTTGAACTTACCCGCTGACACAATGGGCTGTGCCATCGCCGTGACGATGGTCTCAATCTGGCTCTTGAAGTTCTCCACTGAGGTCGGGTCTCTTCCTGTGAAGAAGAATATTTCATTGATCAACCGGAATGATCTACAATGATGCTTTTATCCTTTAAGTTATCTCTTTATTTCTCTTTATTTCGTTATCCTTTTTTAGCCAAAAGGCTAATCTTCCAGGGTTCATACCAGTTATGTGTAGGAAGTCTCTGTATGAAATGACATGTTAGCTGTTGTTACGGTGTACAAAAAGAAAGTCATTAAAAGGCCATTGCAGGTACATTTGTAAGCTCAGTCTGGTTCTCAACTGTTCATACATAAGATTTGGTATCCCCAGGTTACTGGAATGTCATCAACAAGAAAAGATTGTAGTAAACTGTTGCAAAAATTATACATAATGATAATCTTGCCTTATATGTTTTCAGACCCTTGTCCTACTGGCATTTTTGACACAACAAAGTGACGTAGTAGTTACTTCCGCATTTGTTAGGTTTCGCTGTGGTGTGATGTGGTGCATGAAAAATACTCCCAACCTGTACCTATACAGGGTGCTATATGGATGGTACTGTACATGTATGTGCAACCCATATACATTTACATGTATTACATTTTTTTTACATATGGGCTCTGTAGGACAAGGGTTAAACTGAAATCATTGAAATCTAGTCTAAGGTCTTTCAAATCAATATAAAATTGTACTGACTGTTGTATGCAAACTTGTCGAGCCCGTCGGTCTGCACTTCCGTGTCGGAGAAAGCGAACTCCGGGTCCGTCTGGCAGCCGGCGTCCGAGGTTGGGGAGGTCGGTCGGGGTCGCGGGCCGATTCTGCCGGGAGCCGTGTACGTGGAGTCATGGTCACTGTCTGACGCTGGAACAGAAAAATACAATAACCGATAATTAATCAATAATCTATAAAAATCAATCAATCAACAATCAACAGGGAGGTAGGCTGATTTTGGGGGCAAGTCTGTAGGGCTCAGTGTATGTGGAGTCATGGTCACTGTCTGACGCTGGAACAGAAAAATAAAAAAAACTTATCAATGATCAATCGATCAATAGATATTCCTAGAATGTTGGCCAATGTCTGAGTCTACCAGATGTTGTGTTAGTGGAGTCATGATCACTGTCTGATACTGGAAGAAAACAATCATTCAACAATCAATCAATTATAGATATTCTAATCTTAGTGACTGTTGGCTGATGACTGGATTTATCATGCACTATGCAGTTGGGGTCATGTGCTGTCTAGAGCTGTGTACCTAAACAAATTTTAGGTACAGGTACAGGTACAGGTACACAGGTTTAGGTACAGGTCCGGACCTGAACCTGTACCTGAACAATTCGACCAATTTATATGGTCTTCTGAACTCCTTCAATAACAAAAAAACATAAATAAACTTGATAGTTAAGGTTTATTCTTTGTTTATGGCGAATGCTCAGATAAAATATAGGCAAAACTATGTGTTTTGTTCATGAACACGCTGTCCTTACACAGGGACCCATTGTTAACCACCATTATACACATTTGAGGTCACAAATAGGCATAAAATTGGTGTGAAATTGTTTAGGTACAGTACCGGTACTGAGGGAGTAGGTATTTTGGACCTGTACCTAATCAATTTTTCCGGTACAGTATCGGTACTGCATACCGGTACACAGCTCTAGTGCTGTCTCATGCTGTAATATAACAATCAAGTCAATGTTGTACAAGTCATGATCACTGTTTGATCATGATGTTGTAACAGATAAAATCAATCAATAAAGCAAAATCTATTCACCAACCATTCAATCAATATTTACATGTGTAGTGGTTCTACCTCAGTGTTAGATGTCCAAGACTTCTGACTGTGTATAAGTCAGGATGGGAGGTACTGAGTATTTGAAAGTCAAGGTTATATGTGACCTCATGTGACAACCCCCAAAGGAAGAAAATTGAGTGAACAAAATGTCACAAAGTGGCAATGGTGAAAAGATGGACTAAGCTTTTACTGGGTAGAAACAACATTGAATTTCAAGAGAGTGACTACTTATTTGCCAGTACATAACTGTACAAGCAGTTAATCACTAGTTATTCTGCCCAGTTATTCCATCCTTTATACTTCTCTAGGCCTGACCAGCCACCTAAGACATCGACACCCCCAGAACAGCTGAGGATGAGACGACACGAACCCAGATGCTCGGACCCGAGCTGAGGCCAGACGAGATTCTGCCCAGTGCCCAGACTTAGTCAGTTTTTCTGTTGCACTGACATGGCACTAACTCCTGAAGACACTTAACTTCTAACCAGACCTAAGGAATAGATGTTGACTAATGAGTTAACAATGATATTGAATGTGTTGGACATAGTTTTAGATAACAGCATTGTGCAACTTGTAGTTACATTTCCTTATGTATGTAAGAACACAATTCAGTCTGTGGGTGGCCAGTTGTTCACTTGCAATAGACTAACCTATATGCTACTTGGTGTCAGTACTAAGTCAGGCCAGTCTTTTTCCACTAACTAACTCCAGCAGACACTTAAGTTCTAACCAGAGCTATCAAAGGCATCTATCTCAAGGCCACATTACCTGCCTTTAAGTTAACGTTAAAGAATGCTTTCCGTCAGGAAGTGTGTTGGCATATGCTACACGGTGTCAGAAGTCAGGCCAGTCTTTTTCAGTTGCACTGACATGACAAGGTTCTAGCTACATGCAGAAGTCCTGATGGTGGAAAGAAGATGAATCTTTTTCAGGTCTGGTGGACATGTGGACATGTGCATTTTGTAGTGTTGGCATACATGTATGCTACTTGGTGTCGTGTGACAGGCTGAATAAAAGTTCTAAACGGGAACTATGCGGCTCCAGATGTCTTACTGACGGACGACTGCGTGTGCAAGATGTCGGTAGCTCAGGAATGAATCCCCTCTACTATTTACTACTTGGTGTCAGAAGTTAGGCCAGTCTCTTTCAGTTGCAGTGACATGACACTAATTCCAGCGGACACTTAACCTCCAACATTCAGCTCACCCAAGGTCAGAACGATCTCAGGTGACCCACCAGCACAGGTGAGGTCCTGGGAACCGTTCCAGGTGAGCACACCTGTTGTTCTACAGGACAGGTGACTGGCAGGTAACACAGGTACCCTCAGGGCACACCTGGCAACTATCAGCACTGCTGCGATTCAACAATTTAAGGTCACTCCAGTTCAATTTGTTGGTTCTCAGATTCTTTTGTGAAAAAGAAGCATAGTCATCCTATAATAGCCCAATATGCTAAAATACAAGCCATGAAGACAGCATACAAGGCTGGTTTGCAATTTAAACAATGAATTTTGAACATTTAAGTAAACCACTGAATTGATTAGAAAGATTTGTGGAAAAGCCATCCCCAAAAAAACCTGACCAAAATCCCTGATTGGAGTTAGAGAATAAAAGGAAAAACCTTATTACTATATGGGCTGTTTGTTAGCTCTAAAGAAACTATTTTAATAAATTAATTAAATGAATCTTAAGGGAAATTCCAGTGTAATTCTAGAGATTGTTATCCTATAATCACAGGATTTGGTTGGGACGAATGTCATTGATCATGATTATGTTACCTTTAAGCTTAAGGATTTGACAGATCAACTTGTTATCCTACTTAAAGAGATCTAAAACAGTGCAGAGAAAGGTCATTGCAGGACATGCGTGGGAAAACAATCCAAAATATTCACCTCTGGCAAGTTTACCTTATTACTGGTAAAAGAAGTCAAGAATGAGCTTTTTGAATTTCTTGCCATGTTATCTCTGGTTAAAGTCATAAATTTCTTGCCAGGTCTTGGCAGAAGGGAAGGTTTAGAAAACTTTGGGGCAGATCTTCATCTAGACTTTTCAAGAAGCCCTACGTTTTTGATTTAACTCCAATCTTCACTACAAAAAATGACAACAGTTTGAAAAGGTTGATCCAGAAATTCAAATGCTCACATGTAGGAAACTACATGTAAGTATCTAATAGTATGCAGTTATCTGAGGTTTCTGTATTGTGTGCATTGGCCTGTTAAACAAGTGGTTGTGAATGAAGAAGTTGATGAATATTTCAATCATTCACCAACCTGATGAAATCATTCACAGACTATAAACCACATTTAATGTGATGTATCTTAGTTGAGGCTTTGAATTCACATAACTACCACATAATACATCTAAACTATATTAAGTTATCTCAAACTTTTCAAGGATTTTACCATCTTTTTGAATATCCGTCACCCTCTAAGAAAAATTCTGAGGTGTGGGGTTTGTGGCGTAACGGCAGAGTGCTTGACTTGGAACCAAGAGTTTGAGTCCTGACTTCACTGACAATGAGTATTGTCCTGTCTTGTATTTGTCTCTATGTGTGGGACACAACACCAGCAACAGCTGCCTGTGTCCCACATGTACTGCATTACAGTTACAACTTTGATAAATAAAATCAAGAAGAATTCACAAGAAATCCTACCTGCCCAGACCATCTTAGCCAGGAAAATTCCCTCCTGTACAGTCCTGGGTTTCTGTGGCTCGATCCATCCATATTTTGCCGTATAGAACCCGTCATCTAGTTCTCCCTTCTCTGGCCATCCTGTATCAATCCACACAGGCTTCGCATTCACAAGTTTCCCCTCTGTACTATTCAGTGCATATCCGGCTACTGCTGTGGTCAGACCGTTAGTTCCTTTTGACCAGTTCTTGGTCGGTTTCGTTTTTGTATCTTCTTCGTCCTCCATAAGTTGAGTTGTCCGGATTTTCGTGAGAATGAAAGCGTCACCCTCGACTCGGGGGTATTTCATTTTCTCAACCTTCTCTTCAACTTGTGGCTGTTTTTCTTCCACAGCTTTTAGACCTTCGGATGATTCAGGGATTTTGTCACTCCTACGGACTTTGTGAAGCATCACATAATCATCTTCTATGTCATCCACCAGCGACTGTGTAACTGCTTTAGGCTTTTCTGTCTTCTCTGAACTTTTACTTCTTGCTTTTTGTTTCACCTGGAAAGGTGAGACATCTTTGGCAGCTGAAGAAGTCTTGGAATCGTTCTTAGTTTCTTTTGTTTCTTCCTTGAAAGTTTTTAACTTAGACTCCAAGGAACTTTCTTCTTTTGTACCATAAAAATGTCTGCTTTTTGACTGCTGAATGGGTTTGGCATCCTTATCCAAAGTTGAAGAATTCTTGACATCCTTAGGAGGTGAAGACTTCTTGGTTTCTTTTGTCTCTTCTTTAAATGTTTTTGACCTTGACTCCGAGGACATTTCTTCTTTTGTACCATAACATCTGCTTCTTGACTGATGAATAGATTTGACATCTTGAGACATTGAAGAATCCTTGACATCTTTTTTAGGAGTTTCTTCAGCCACCTTGGGCTTGTAGACCTCCTTCTTAGTCTTACTTTCCCTTTTCAGATCACCTGAAGGAACTTTCCCTTTCTTCAAGGCGTCAGCTCTTCTGCTCAAGCCTCTGCTTCTCCTTGCAGCCGCTGTGGGTTTCTTAACTACAGTTTCTTCAGATTTTCTTCCTTCAAACTTCTCATACACATTTCTTGGCAGCGACCTTGACCTTAAGTTACCTTGTGTCTTAGACACGTTCCTTGGGAGAGACTTGGAACGAATCTCGACCGAAGGAGCCTCCTCGACAAAAGACTCGTACAGAGAAATCCTCTCCTTGACAAGATTTGCCTGAACGTTGGGAATTTCTCGTAAAACTTCAATGTTTGTAGCAGAGAACTTTGACGGGTCAATAGTCAAAGTTCCAACCTCAGGCCTCTTCTTAGAGTTCTCATCGCTGATCAGGTTTTCTTCAGATCTTGATAGCCTTGTCCTTGTAGGTGAGGCTAGCGATGCCTTCTTGTCTCCATCCTTGCTAAACGTCTTACGAGAATCTAC